ATTATAAAAATCCTATTTCGTGGTGCCAAAACGAAATAAAACGTCAAGACGTACGTACGTACATACCTGAAGTCCGCTAGCCGAGGAGTGCCGTATAGGAATGGAATGAAGTTGTGAGTTTGGAACAAAAACTGGACGACCTCCACCGGCAAGTTTAAGCATTGCTCCTTTCTCAAGCAGCTCAACAACTTCAGCCGAAACCATTTGGCCAAACGCAAATTCAGGTTCATCTGTTTCCGACAACAACCTAATTGAATTATAATTTGACATGCATTTTTTCAAGAAGAAAAATTAATCTTACTTCTTCAACAGAGCTTTTGCTTCTTCGAGCCGTTGCTTGTTGGGTGCAAATAGACTTATGTGAGCCTCGTCCTCTTGCGAGATCTAAATGTATACGTTTTGCAGTAGTCAACCCAAACTCAAACATTCGCAAAGCTAAGCAGAAATGGCGCGTGTGAACAATGAAATGTCCGGAGCCCAAGTCTAGTAGAAACAGACTCGGGCGAAATAAGGTCAAAATTAACATCCGCTATTTATGCCTTGATCACCTTAGTGCCCGTTTCAGCTTCAATGGTTTTAGCATGCATTCCACCAGTTCGGAATAACGCTTGTTTTTTGTACGCATCCAATCGTATCTGCTCAATTACTGGCACAGTAGATTTGAACTCTGCGCTGAAATACAAAACTCTTTAATAATCCGTACAATAGCGATGTAGTTGCCAACCGTGGTCTATCTAGTATCACACCCATTTTATTCAAGACATGGCTAATTCCTGCCTTGGCGCTACTGAATGCTTCCGTTAACTGCTGCCGTGTTAGACCTGGTACTTTAACGTCAAGCTGCATTGCCGTGAATCCATTAGCTGAGCCTGGAATTTGGTGCTTAAATCAAGAACCAGTGAAAGATAAACTTACCTGCTATTTTAAAGTCCATGTCACCAGCATAATCTTCTATACCCGAGATATCTGTGAGCACTTTATGGGGCTTTTGCGATCTGTAGTAACTTTGTTATTACTGTAGGCTTAT